CAGTGCTTGGTGTTGAAGCGAGCCTGTATAGGATTCTGAACAGGCTCTCTGTAAGGGGTGATGAGGCAGATGGGTGCCCGCAAACAAGGATACCCACCATCTCCAAGGAGGCATTTTCCTGCAGGTGGATACAGTTTGCCGGTATAAACTGGGCTGTTCTTCAGCACTCTGGCGTCATGCACGGATCCAGGATACCCAACAAAGATGTCAAGAAACTTTCCCTGGTGGTCAGTGATGGCCTGCAGCTGGACAGAGTAAAACAGCTTTCTATTAAAATAACATGGGCCATCACTTGCTGGTGGTTTGATGCGGATGTGACACCCATCAATTGCTCCAGCTACTAAACAGAAAGCTGGAGACCCAGCCAGCTGGGCAAAACCTGCTCCCACTGCCTCCAGGTCATCCACGTTGGGGAAAGAAATCATTGTTCTTAAAATGCCAATGACTCCCTTGCTCACTCTGTGCACAATGTCATGCACAGAGGACTTGGGGATGTCTAAGGCCATTGACACTACCCTGTATGATGCTGCATGGGCCAGCCAGTAAAGAAAAACCAGCACCTCAATGTCCTTTTCCCAGCCATGATCACCATCTGACTTTAGAGCAGCAATCAGGGACTTGATGGACTGTCGAGACAGTTGGAGGGTGGGGCGGAGGTCAGCTCCATCTTCAAAATACAGCCGAATAATTGGCACAGCAATGTTCAGGCGGCAGTATGCTGTAGGGCTGACAGTCTGTAAATGTGTACATAGTTTTATTAACAACATTATTTGCTTATTTAATCGTGTGTATTATATACTGTTTGTTTTAAATGTAATGAATACTGTTTTATATGTAATAAAAAATTGCATTATTATATTTCTGTTGGTTTTGTTCTTTATTTTAATAATGATAATCTCACAAGTAAATAAGTTATTTTCTTGGGCTAAAGTCAGTTGTTGTGGTCATGTCTTTTGTTTCTGAGGTAAAATTTACTTGCTAAATACTAATAGATACTTACATTATGCAGTAAATTATTCATAAGCTGCCTATGAAGCCTTGCTCTGCGAGCAGCTGCCCTTTGCCTCCTTTGTACTGTTACTTGCTGAAACAACTTTAAAACGCCATTGCTAACTTTACGGGCTCTTTAAATTTTCGCGCTGCTATGAAAACGTATGTCACGTGATGTATCAACATGGCGGATGTAGTACGTCCAAATTTCATTCATACTACCAGGCTTCATACTATACAGTACCTAATGTTTTAATGGTCAGTAAGTAGGTACTTCATCTCTTTCAGTACGTACTGTCACAGTATGCGGTTTCGGACGCAGCCAAAGCAATCAAGAAAAACTGTAACTCAGTCCAATCCATTTGATGTTGAGGTGGACCCCCAGGTATTTAAAGGTGTCCACAATCTAAATGACTGAGCCCTGAAAGCTCACCGGAGTGAGTGTTGATGATTTCCGCCGGAGGGGTCAATCACCATCTCTTTAGTCTTACTGGTGTTCAGGACCAGGTGATTTTCCTCACATTAATTCACAAAGTGAGTAACAACTCCCCTGTTTTCCACTGGGCATGGAGGTGGCCGAGGACAATCCTCTCCATGGTCTTCATCAGGTGAGAGGTCAGGTGAAGATGGAGTGAAGATCAGTAGAAAAGAGGATTATGGAGTGATGATTCGAAGTTTGAAATTGTTTCGATGGTAGTATGTGAGTAGAAGAGATGGAGAGAAGTGGAAGAATGAGTGTCTGCAGCCTTCAGTGTAGTAACGTACATGTTCTGTTCGGTTTATGTAAAGTTTATCTCACATTTGCTGGTTCTTATCCAGCCCACGCAGGAACAGCGGTGAAGCAGAAATACCAAAGGTCAAAGGGTGTGCGTTTACTGTTAGACACGGTTACTGGTGTAAAGAAAATGGAAAGCTCCCATCTAGAACTCCACTAAATGTTGGCCGTTCTTTTGATAGTATACCAAAGCTTCTTAGCTGCTGCTATGTGAGCTGTGACAGAGTTCTGCCTGTTTCACCTCTCTGTGACTTGAGTTGTGTTCTTGTCACATTCAGTGAGACTTTACTTGGAGTAGAGGCTGAAGACAGACACATTTAGGCTCAGTCTCATTTTCTAACTATAAAGAGCAGAGCCACAGCAACACTAAAGGAAAAATCCACCATGCATACATACACATAATACTAGATGTGTAAACCCAAATGAATGCACTGTACTCAGCAGGATGCAATCCATCAACACACACACACACAGCAGACAGAGCTTTCCCCACTGAGTTAATATTAGAATAAATCAAGCATGAAGATGACACATGTTACCTTCTTGTCTCTAAATTGGACCTGCTGTGCTCAACCCCGTTTCATTTAATTTCATAAATTACCAATAATAATGAAATAAACACTGACAACAACCAATGCTTCCATAAGTTTGTTTGTTTACAAGTCATATCAACTTTAAATGTATGAAATAAGTTATCAAAATAAGTCAAAGATCATTTGTCTTAATAAAGATCATTTTCTAAATTGCACTTTGTTGCATTTAAAGTTCAGCATCCTTCTAAGAAACAGCACAGAAACCTGTTGCAGCACTTCTGACACTGTTGGGACTGACAGTAAATATAGGTTTACAGCCAAATCAACTATTTTGATCATAAATTTGTTTCTTGTAGAAATGTCTCACAGTTTGATTGCATGATGGATGTTCTGTAATGAGTTAGGTTTAAACGAGCATTGAGGGGCTGGTGTTGGAGATGTTTAGTCAGTCAAATCCACCCAGACAATTTATTTGAATGTATTTATTTCTGCAGCTTCAAACACTATATTTAATCATTTGCTTGCTTTAAAATGTGTGTTTGTTTTTGTAACTACAGTTAATAGGTTGATGTGAAATAACTAAACTGGCAGCGTAGCCTACTGTCCTTAGTAAACCTGCACAAATCTCTCTGCATACAGTAAAGTTGACAAGCTGCTTCTGGGTTGAAGTGCAGGGCAAGACCGGGACCTAATTTGAGCATCACATGAGGAAAGTAAACCATTAATTTAACCACCTGCTATAGCACTCCTTGTTAAAGCAGAATAAATCTCAGACTCAAGACTCTTTAAACACTGCCAGCCTGTGTTTAAATTGGAGTACCAAGCCCAGCGGTGTGTGAACGGCCAATAAAGGGAAAACGTGATGATGATGTGATATTCTAAGATAAGATAAAAGTTAAATAAAAGTTACTGGTACTTCTTTCTTACCGTTCTGTTGATGCAGAAATCTTAAAATGATCATTTTAACCACTGGAGAACCACTCCTTCTTGTCTTTCAATTAAAAACTGGCATGTTAACATCATTCAATTTGCTAAGTACAAAGGATGCATTTACCAAGATTAGTTTGAAGACTGGAAGGAGGAACAATTAGTCTGGTTTTCTCCAAACTTCAAAAACTTGCCTAACAGCACCTATAACGCTCACAAATACAGTAGCACTGTTATTAGTTGGTGCACACACAAACTGGCAGTCTGTGGTTGTAGGAGTTACTGTTATCAACTATTGACAAGTACTGTTCTGCAGTGACTCCAGCTGTAGCGTGGGTTGCCATGATTGGTCGGTAGTACAGGTTTTAGTACTGTCTATATACAGCCTTGTTGTTACGAGCTGACGTCTTGCCATATACCGCAAAACTCCTCCTAAAACCACAAACTGTCATTATTACATTTCTGGTGTGAAAAGACCGAACAACTGAACTGCAGCATGGAGAGAGGCAGACAGTTTCCTTCTGCTTTGAGTCTTTACACTGAGCTATTTCTTGATTCTTGCACCATATGTACGTAACATGAGAGCAATGTTAGTTTTCTCAGACTCTCAGTAAGAAAACGCAAAAGTGTAACTCCCAAATTATTTTATAAGTTTCTTCATAGAACAGATTTTATCTTTATTTCAAAATGATAATTTTGCTTAGTTTCACATTCACTGGAAAAACTGCATTCAAACACATTAATACAAACTCATCACCTCATTGTCCTTGTCTAACTTGCCAGGAATTCATTTCTTCTTATAATGTTAAGATTCATTAAAGAGAAGAAATAAGTGGTTGATGAGTTCTAGGGTTCATATGATAATGAGCAAACAATATACATAATGAAACTCTCCTGATGGATACATAAAGGAAGAAGTGAAAAGATGAAGGACTGGTAAGCAGACAAATGTACTGTGTGTTGTAATGTACTGGTAAACATATTTATAACCTCTAGGAAGGAAAACAACTGATCCATACTTATTTATGTGAAGGGGAATTGAAACGTCAGTGTGTTAAAAGAACACTTGTAATCAACTAGCAGCCTCATATACACACACAATCTCACAGAGGCACCGACTCAACACTTAAGTGCCCACACACAGGAGGCTTACATTACACACACACACACACACGCACACACACTGATAAGCCACTGACCTTGGTCGAAGCCACTCTGTTTACAATGTAACTCTGCTGGTTCTCCGATGGAGCACAAATGAGAAGAAAGCAACACAAGGCTGATTCTCCATATGTCATAAAGTGCGGCTATTCACTCACTAATGTTGTCTTATGTTTACTTTTTCTTGAACCAAGTCATCACTGGTGGGGACCACCATCCAGTCCCCACAATCCATATCATCTCGCACATCCATCTGGTCCCCACGGGGAAGGCTGAGTCCTCATAATGTGAGTATGTAAACAACCTTTGGTCCCCACTCTGTATGTATTGCCAGGCACATACATACTGTACACATACTGCTGTGTCAGCTATGAAAGACATCATCATCTCACACACACACACACACACACACAAACAGTTGCAGCTCCTTCTGAAGCCAAAGACCAATCATGCAAATGAGGTTTGCAAATATTTCAATTAGAAAAGGCCCAAAGGGCAGCGTAGGCATCAGTGTTGGTGTTCAGCTGCAACCCGGCATCTGGTGGGAGGAAGGAGGAGGCAATGCTGATCAAATGACCGCAGAGATTGAAAAAGGGGGGTGTAATTCTTTGTCTAGGTATTTCTTCCTTTGGAGTTTGCCAAAATGTTTCAGTTTCAAGAGGAACTATTGTGACATAAAGATAAATGCTGAACTGCCACCAGTGTTTCCAGTGTTTCCCTGTTTCTATAGCCATCCCTTCATGTTTTCTGTAAGTATCTAATTGTAACTACACAGTGAGTTATGGCTTAATTTATGCATGTGATTATTTTAGATTCACATTTGTCTTATTTACCCGCCAATACATTTAAAATATGTTTAATGCATATCAGCCTGCCTTATTTTACTCAGTGTTTCTGTATGTACACTGTCCATCCAGTAATTAACAGTAATAATAAAGGCCTGGCTGTAAAGCAAAGCTCAATTTATATTTATGGTTTGGGTATGTCTGCATGAATGCAAGTCAATTTAAACAATCAGAATACAAGCACCAGAATGTTCTGCTGCTCTACCGGTGACAAAGCCCTGAGGACAGATGATGCATATGCATAAAAGTAATTTTCCGATACATCAGATAAAGTCTGAGCAGTATAAAGTCAAGATCAATTAGCTGCAGCTCCTTTAATGGGCTAGAGTCTATAACAATGTGGTGACCTCTATTTGACATTTGGTATTGTCCACACTAGCATTATTGTAAAGTACCTCTGGAGGAATATTGTGGGAGGTGACGCACATAAGATAACAGATGGAAAGAGCTGACAGGGCACATGTGCACACTTTGAAAATGAAAAAAGACATGAAGTATGAGTCATGTTTGTGTTAGTTTCATGGAAAAGTAGATGAAATGAATGGGCCAGGAATGACTCACACACACCTGAACCTGCAACATGCACTATAAGCAAATGACATATTGTTTGGTGTAATTTGATACTTATGAAGTTTCATGCTAACAGTCATTTTCTCTCAAACACACAGATACGTCTGATTTCTATCAAAGTAACACAAGCACACACAAAGAAACATACAAAAACATGGATACATTAGTTTGTTTATTTTATTCCTCTTAATCTAAACCTCTATCCACTGTGGACTCAGAAAACCTGTCATACCATGTCCACATGCAAACCACACCACCACTTAAGTCCAGAACAGATATAGGGCTGATTCCTTCACTACCATTGGTCACTTAGCAGCTTCACCTCCTCCTGATGTGGACTTTTTGGCTCTAGATACTGCATCACCTAACTTACTCTTGCTTGTGTCGTAGT